ATTTAATGACTTCTGGTCAGTCAAAGTCCCTGGTCTGAATGATAAATTGAAAAATGCACTGAAGTTTTTGTTTTGTTCATAAAAATATAATTTGGTGTAATTTTCTTGCACTTCTTTATTATTCTTGCACTTCTTTATCGTACTTTAGACAGAGCTGTGTAAAATTCACACAATAAAACCTTTTATAAAATATGTCTCATTAATACTAGATTACATATATAGATGTACATACGTCTGCTAAATGAATACATGTAAATGTAAATGTACTCTCTTACACACACACACACACACACACACACACACACACACACACACACACACATACACACACACACACAAACTAAAGAGTATCTACGTTTGGGAGCTTTTCAATAAAATAATTTATGAAAAATAATAAACAAAACGTGTATATCATTATTATTATTATTATTATTATTATTGTATTGGTATTGGTATTAGTACTATTTATTTGGACAAACAAAAATGCATATAACCAAACATGTCAGGGGTATACAAAAATTTTAATTTTTCAAAGTTTTTACTTTAAAAGATATAGTTTCCAAATACATTTTAATGTAAGTTTAAAGTTGTTCAATCATAGGCAAACAAACAAACAAACAAATAAATAAATTAATTAAATGATTAATTAATTAATTAATTTGTATCACCATGCACTGAGAAACACCAGCTTCTCCTTTCACATCAGCTTCTGGTCATTCCCAAAATAACTGACTAATGGTTTCAGTCTAGCTGTTTATTTTTTTCCTCTTCACGTCAGCTGGCGTTACGTTACGTTACGTTACGTCGGCGCTGCGTCATGCTAAAAGAATGCCGAGCAGCGCGTTGACGCTGATCTGTAAATCATCTGTGTTTCAGACCGATGTGGCAGTGTATACCGAGCAGATCATGGATTCTGCGCCAGCTCTGTGACTGGACGCGCCCTCACTTCCGGGGGTGTGTGTGTGTGTGTGTCGCGTGTGTGTGTGTGTGTGTGTGTGTGTGTGTGTGTGTGTGTGTGTTGCCAAGAGAATGCGGTGTAAGGAGGTCAGATGCCGCAGGTCTCGTGTGCTTTAATTAAAGGTTGGTAGACGCATGTACTTTTATTTCTGCTCTGGTGTTTGGCTCTTGCTCTGCCAGTGACAGAGACCAGCTGTCCGATTAGCGGATCCGTGCTAACAGTAGAGCTTGCTCTGGAGGACAGGTGGATCTGAGTCTGACATGATCATGACTTGACTTCTTACAGGAGGGGTTTTAGCAACTTAATGTTTGATAAGGAATGAATTATTCATTATATGAGCTGCGTCTTACTGTAATCAGTGTGATTCACAATGACCAACTTCTTTTGAGAACCTAATGTAAATACAGTATCTGAACTGTACTTGCACACTGGCCGTGTCTCAAAGCCAGACTCCCTACATAGACAGCTTGTTTGGGGGCCTATAATACCCTAAAATGGCAGTCTATGTACTAGGCAGCTTAGTAGGTTTTCATGTCCAAAAATGCTGTCAGTGTGGGCAGGTAGGCTAAAATGCGCACAAATATTTGGCAGCTCTCAAGGGGTCGATGCTTAAAAATGCAGTCTATGTAGACAGAAAGGTTATGAGATGTCCAAAAATATGATCTGTGTAGGAAGCTCAGCATATTTTGATGCCCAAACATGCTTTCTGATAGGCTTTGATACCCTAAATGCTGTATATATCAATAGTCTTCGAGGGTTTGATGCCCAAAACTGTAGTCTATATAGGCCAAAAGGCTATAATGCCCAGTAATGTTGTATTTGTAGGAAGCTTAGATGGTTTTGATGAACAAAAATGCTTCATAGCCAAATTGATCTATATATTGGAAGCTTTCTAAGGGTTGATGCCCAAAAATGCAGTCTATGTAGGCAGAAAGGCTACAGTGCTTAATAATGCTGTCTAGGTAGTAAGCTCAGTAGATTGTGATGCCCAGGAATGCTATATAGGCTTTGATACCCTAAGTAATGTATACAGTATATAGAAAGCTCTCTATGGTTTAATGCCCAAAAATGCAGTCTATATAGACAGAATAGTCTTAGATACCCTAAATGTTGTATATATTGGAAGCTTTCTAGGGTCTGATGCCCAAAAATGCTGTCTGTGTAGATGACACCCAACAATGTTGTCTAGTTTTGCAGCTCAGTAGGCTCTGATAGGTGGGTAGCTGTATAAATAGGTTGCTCAGTAGGCTTTGAGACACAGTCCTTGCTGCTGTTTTCCATCCTTGACTAGGTAGGGTGCTTATGGTTCAAGATTGTGTGAAGTAGCCTTCCATGGTGTTGCTGTTTGAGCTCATGGTGTTGTTGTGTAATGCATTATTGTGACTTGATACTCTTGATAAATTAAATGAGATTTTCTACATAAACACATTTCTACATTTTTCTTCCCCTCGGCAGTCAGTTTGACGTCTTATTGAATGTGACAAGAAATGAATAAACCCAAAATGGCGGCAGAAAAAAGGTTAGATTTTCCCCTCTTATAAACACACACACACTTACTATCTAAATGGGGACATTCTACAGACCTCTATTGTTTCTATATATTTTTATATACACTTAACTAGCTGTATTCTTTTTATTCTATATTTACAAATACTATAACCTAACCCTAACAGTACA